GGTTGCCACCGAATTGCCTTCTACTGAATTCGGGAAGGATCTGTTCGGGACGCTTCGCGACCCGCGGACCCTTCGCGTAACACCTTGTTACGGGTCCTTGTGTCGAGCCTATATATAGCCTCGTGTTGTACCCAAGTGATGATTCAATTCACATTCTCTTTTCTGAGCTCGATCCTAGATCCTCACACTTGGTAATCAGAGCCCGTTTACACGCGAAGTTTTTTCGACCGCTACAAACCATTCTTCAAGAAACCGCGGGGGCGACACAGTTAAACATCGATTTCGGGTATGTAAAACTGGTTCCATGTTTTTCGCTCCCCCTCGATTCGGTTTTTCGCACGCGCTGAAATCAGGCATGGAAGGCCAAGGCAACAACTACACGACCACGAGCGACATCGCGAGCCTCCGCACCGACATGGAGCAGACGCAGGCGACGCTTCGTCGACTCGAGGCTTTTCTGACAAGCCAGCCAGGGTTCGCCACTGCAGCAGCAGCGACCGCAGCGACTGCAGCACCGACAACTCCAGCAGCAGTGGCGACACCGACATTTCACGGACCGATGGCACCACTGTCGCCAAACCTCGAAGCAGCACGACCGAGGCTCTCTGAGGCGTTCGATCCAAGTGCGAAGGGATCCGACGTCCCGCGATTTGTGGCCACCCTCGAAATTTACTTCGAGGCCATTGGCTGTTCGACCCCGCAACATGACGCAGCAAGGATTCGGCTCGCAGCGACACTATTACGTGGACCTGTGAAGACAAGCAGTAGTAGTAGACGCCATAGCTAGGAAAGCCCTAGCTATGCAAGAAACAGTTTAGGCAAAGAGAGGGGTTCACTAGCAGGAATGAGGATACAAATAGCAAACCCTAGAAGGGTTGTACTCGTTATAGAGCACCCCACTACAGGCTAGAGCACAACATTCTGACACACCCCCATAGCCAAAGTGGGGTGTAATCAGCAAAGCAAGCAAAGCAGAACAAGCTTAGGGTGGATCACAATGTCACTACACATTCTGAGCACAAGTTCAAGAAGCAACAGTTTAAAGTTCACGAATGTAAGCAAAGCTAGAGGCTATCGCAGAGGGCAAGTGAGGAGGAGGAGGCGAGACTCTAAGAGGAGAGGAGATAGGAGGCGACGACTGAAGCTGCAGACACACGGGCAACAGGAAGTACACTGGCACAGCGGCTACCGGAACAGCGCTCCAGACTACTGGAGTAACTGGCCCCACGGCTAAAAGTAGCGGCAGACGAGCAACGGACCCACGGGTGACTGGCACAGGTGGCTGCGCCTGGCTACTGGAGCAACTCCCCGGACTACAGGTGCTGCTGGAGACACGACGGCAACCTCCGTTCAACCTCCCCAAACAGTCCCACCCCCCCTAACACACACCCCCTACTTCACCCCTAGCTCCACTCCCCCTTCACCCCCCTTAGTACCACTCCGACGGCTCCAACAGGTCCACCCCCCCTCAGCGGCAGCTGCAGCACTAGGAGACGGAGGAGGAGGAGGAGCAAGGGATGGCACACAGAAGCTGCACCCCCATACCCCCCACCCCCAAACCCTAATTCAGGAGAACGGGCAGCAGCAGGGGTGGGGCGCCATCAGAAGCACTGGGGACAGCGGGCAGCGCAGGGGCAGCAAAGAACGGGCCGCCCACGGGCCTGGCACAACCGCCCGAACCGTGCGAAGGCGTCCCGAGCCGCGCGCGGACCTGGCGCAGCCCGTACTGAGAAAACTGAAACGAGAATGATTGACTAGTGCAAGGGTTGGGTACAAGTACAAACCCTAGAAATATCGTACCCCATATGTGAAACCCCACTACAGCCTACAAAGGCTAAGTCATATAAGTCTGACACTCCCCCATAGGCAAGGTGGGGGAGAACAAGGGGTCACAAGACCAGTCAAGCAAAGCAAAGCAAAACAAGCTCAGGGTGGATCACAACGCCACCACACATTCCGAGCACAAGTTCAAGGCCACAAGGCCAATTCATATGCAAAAGAACATATATATATATATATAAGGCTAGACAAGCAAGAACAGATATATATATATATGTAACAGTACAAGCAAGGTCAAGAGGTGAGCAAGTGAGGCAAGACAGGGACAAGACCCAGCTGAGTGCAGAAGCGCTGATGATCTCAAGGCGCAAGTGCCTTGGTGAAGATATCAGCAGTGTTGGCCTCAGAGGCCACGTACGCAAGCCGCAACTGTCCACGCTGCTGTAGCTCATGAGCAAGGAAGTAGCGGAGAGCAATGTGCTTTGTTCTGTGCTCCAGTCGCTGCTCTCGACACAAGGCCAGCATGGCCTTGTTGTCTACGTACAGAACTGGAGGAGAACGAGGCGGCTCTCCGAGGTCATTCAGCAGGTAGGTGAACCAGCGAAGCTCCTGTGCAGCCATGGCCCCAACGTAGATCTCAGCCTCACAACTGGAGCCGAGAACAGAAGACGAGCGAGTAGCCCGCCACCAGACAGAGCCGGAACCAAGGCTGAAGGTGTAACCCTGTGACGACCGCTGCGTAGCCTGGTCGTCAGCCCAAGAAGCGTCTGCGTGCCCAGTGAGGACCACTGGACTCCGCCCTCGAAGCACTAGCCCCATGCCCGACGTACTGCACAAGTAGCGCAACACCCTCTTCGCTGCAGCCATGTGCTCCAGTCTGTGTCTCCCAGGAGCAACATAGCGTGCGAGAATGCTAAGAGGGTATGCAAGGTCAGGTCGTGTGCAGGTCATCAGGTACATGAGACAGCCAACGAGCTCTGGGTATGGGCCACTCGACTCTACGGACTCATCCGAAGGCAGAGCTGAGAGCGAGTGGCGAGTAGGCAGAGGAGTGGCCTGAGGCGAGGAGAACGCGAAGCCGAAGCGCTGAAGGACCTGTTGCACCATGTGTGACTGAGTCAGGGTAATGGTGCGGCGTGCTCTGTCCCGGGTGATCTGCAAGCCAAGGTAGCCGCGCAGTTCACCCTGGTCTGTGCACGTGTGTCTCTTCTGCAGCTCGGACTTCACGTAGGCGAGTCCAGCAGTGTCAGCTGTGGCAAAGACCAAGTAGTCGACGTACACGAGGATGTAGAACGGCGGCAGAGAGGTGTCGGTGCGCAGAAACAGCGACGGGTCGGCAGTAGAAGGAGCAAACCCAAGAGCCGCAAGCGTAGTCCTCAGTGTGTCGTGCCACTCACGGGGCGCCTGGCAGAGACCGTAGACTGGACGCCGGAGACTCCACTGGGTACCAGGAGGGAACGACCCAGTGAACCCAGGTGGGTGGCGCAGCCAGATCTCCTCGTGCAGGCTGCCCTGCAAGAAAGCTATGCTGAAGTCAAGAGAGTGCAGCTCGTAGTCACGGTGAGCAGCAACGTGCAGCAGTACCCGAAGACTGGTCATCTTCAGGGTGGGAGAGAAGGTCTGAAAGTAGTCAACTCCCTGCCGCTGACTGAAGCCTTGAGCCACGTAACGTGCCTTGAAGACAGGCGGAGAACCCGGCGGCCGCTTCACCCTGAAAATACACATGCCACTGACGATGTTCGCCCCAGGCGGGGGAACCTCATCAACGTAGGTGCCTGTGGACTTCCAGGAAGCCATCTCGGTGTCCATAGCTGCCTGCCACTGAGAAGAGTAGGGACCCTCTATCGCCTCTGCGTAAGAGCGCGGAGTCGGGATGTCAAGTGCATCCGGGTCTCCCTCAGGGGTAAGCAGTACGGACACGAGATGAGGTGAAGCAGCGGCCAAGCACTGGAACTCCTTCTGCCTGTCCTCAAGGACGTCCGTGCCAAGGGCACACTCACCCCCGACGGACGGAGGACAGACAGACTCAGACTCAGCGACAGGAGTAGCAGCGTAGTCAAGGCGACAGCGAGCAGCAAAGTCGACGAGCTCAGCAACTAGGGCAGACGCAGCAGTGGACTCAAAGGAAGGGTCAGTGACGACAGTAGCAAGGAGACGCGTGACAGTAGGACTGGCAGCACGAAGAGAGTCCGGCTCCGGGTCGGCAAGAGCAGGAAGAGAGGACTCAGGAGGAGAAGGCAAAGGGGCACGCAGAGGAGCAGTGGACGGACGCAGAGACATCCGGTGCGTGCCAAGGACAAGAGGAGGACGCTGACGTGAACCACGACCACTAGTGCGAGCAGCACGGACAGGCGACGCAGGGCGAGACGCAGGCTCACGACGCTCAGCAAGACCTCTTGTAGGACTAGTGTAGGGAGAAGGAGCAGGTAGAGGGGAGGCGGGCTGTAACTATAACTGGGACGGGACACGCTGTGGACACTCTAAGGGAGGAGGAGGACCAGTAGAAGGCGGGAGACCAAGAACCTGCTGAAGGAGCGGAACGAAGTACGGCCGAGGCCGCGCGGCCGCTCCAGACACAGCAGGGATAGCACCAGCACCCCCAGCGGCAGCACCAGCGCCAGCAGCACCTCCAGCTCCAGTACCTCAAGCAGAACCAGTAGCACCCTCAGCAGGACCACCTCCAGGACCAACAGCAGTAGCCTCAGCGCCAACACCCTCAGCAGCTCCAGCTCCAGTCATACCCGCAGGCTCAACAGCTCTAGTACTCCCAGTACGAGCACCTCCGGGACCCGCGGCACCAGCACCCGCAGCAACCGAAGAACCTCCAGCTCCAAGAGCACGCCTCCAGCGCTGGGCAAACCACTCGCACAGCTCCGGTGGAGAGAATGGCTCCCGCCGAGACGACGCACCCGGAGAACCTCTAGGCACAGTACCGCCAGACGCGACACGAGCAGGCACAGCTCCCGCACGCTCTGCACCCCTAGGCTCCGCACCCCCAGGCTCAGCACCCCCACTCGTGGCACCCACAGGCTCAGCACCCCCAGGTGTAGCACCCCCAGGCTCAGCACCCCTAGTCGCAGAACCCCCAGGCTCAGCACCCCCAGGCTCAACACCCCAAGTAGCAGTACCCTCAGCCTCAGCACCCTCAGAGTCAGCACCCCCAGGCTTAGCACCCTCAGCAGCACCAGAGTCACCAGCAACCTCGACAGGCTCGACTGCGTCTACCTGGGACACACCTGAAGGGGCAGGACCCTGAGGGGGGAGGGGGTCTACCCGGGGGGGACCTGGTACAAGGAAGAGCGGAGGCGGGGGAAGGGACAGAGTGGGGTAGGGGAAGAGGCGGTAGTAGGGGACCGTCTCGTCAAACGTGACGTCCTAGGAGGACAGAACACGGCGAGAGGTGGGGTGGTAGAACTGCCAACCTGACGCGTCACGTGGGAAGCCCAAGAAGATGCAAGGAGCAGCATAAGGGGACGGCTTGTCCGCAGACAAGTCGCGGACAAACGCCCGAGATCCCCAGACACGGAACGCAGACGCATCGCCAACCTTCCCCGTCCATAGAAAGGCTGGGGAGGTCTCCGGCAAGGAGACCCTGGGCTAAAGGGTGATCTGATGCGCCGCGTACCGAACCGCAAACGGCCACAGAAAATGGGGGGCAGCCGCATGCATCATGGACGTACGGGCGACGTCCATGACCATGCCAATGCGGCGCTCAGCAATCCCATTTTGCTGTAGAGAGTCCGGAAGCGTGAAGGTCTGGCGGATGCCTCGTGCACGACAGTAGGCTCGCAGGAGGCCAGAGGAGAACTCTCCGCCTCGGTCAGAGTGCAGACGCAGAACAGGAAAGTCCGAGCCGAAGCTCTGCCTGAGCTGGAGACGAGCTGTGCGGATCCTGTCCATCAGCACCTCAGTGACATCACCCTTGCTGCGCAAGGGGAAGACTGTGGTGTAACGCGAGTAGTCGTCAACCACCAGCACGATGTAGCGCTCGTGACCCTGTTTACGGACGCGGGCTTGGCCCCACACGTCCATGTGAAGCGTGTGCAGCGGGGCCTCCGTTGGAGGAAACTGAGAGGAGTGAGGGGCAGCACGCTGGCGCCCCTCAACGCAGGGGACGCAGGGAGGGGCAGGCCCCGGGGGAAGGGGAGGGAGGGACCGGGGAAGACCAGAGACAAGGAGACGGGCCGCCATGCCTCGGAGACGAGGCAGGGAGGGGTGACCAAGGTGGTGGTGCCACAGGAGAGTCTCGTGAGACAGGAGACGACATGAACAGGGGGCAGACTCAGGACCAGACCTGGACGCTGCAGCAAACACCTTGCCCGACGCAGCTACCCGACCAGACGCACTGACAGGAGGAGACGCAGTGGTCAGTGTGTACAGGCTCGACCCCGGCTGACGTGTAAACGTGGCCAAGTGTCGGCCCGTACGAGCCTCAGTGCAGTGAGTCACCCGCTGGCTCGCAGGAGTGAACTGGTGCACTCCCCCATCCTGTAGGTCAGCACCACTCACCAAGTTCGTAGAGAACGAGGGGAGGTAGAGACTAGACAGGGTGCCAGAGGGAGCCGCCGGACATGCGAGGACAGTGGAGAAGTGAGCAAGGACAGGGCCCCCAGAGGGGTATGCCAGAGAGACTGCAACCGGCCGACCAAGCGGCGTGAGTGTGGTGCGGTCTCGAAAGAAGGAGCGAGAAGCCCCTGAGTCAAAGGGTGAAGGTGAGGGAGGCCGAAGCCGACGCAGTACCTGAGAGAGCAGACTCACCAGCACCTGAGGAAGCAGACGCACGAGCACCTAGAGCAGCAGCCTCGCTAGCACCAAGAGCAGCAGCCTCACCAGCACCTAGAGCAGCAGTCTCAATGCCCGGGTTGGGCAGAAAACACCGGTAACAATCACCCTCATCACTAATAGTCACAGCATACATAGAAGGAAGAATAGCATCCCCCGCCCTAGACAGCTCGCCCCAGCGAGGGATCTTTGTGGCCTCAGGGAACTGGTGACGCCACGCGTCCGTCAGGCGGCCAAAGTAGCGCTGGGTGGGGTGCCCACCCCCACACTGCTCACGACCGCACGGTCGCCGGTGCGCAGGACGTAGGTGCACGGACCAGTACCCCCACCCCGCTGGCGTGCAGTGTACCATTCACGGAGCTGCTGAGGGGATAGGGTCTCACGACCGCGCTACTGCTGCTGGCGCGGACAACCACTGGAGCCACTCCTCTGCGCAGAACCACAACCAGCTCCACCGCCGCCTGCGCCGCCTCCGCCGCCTCCGCCACCACCGCCGCCTCCGCTCCCTCCGCCACCACCGCCATTGCCTCAACCTCCACTGCTGCCACCGGCACCTCCACCCCCTCCACCACCCCCACTCCCACCCCCACTCCCTCCGCCGCCCCCATCGCCGCCTCCCCCGGCCCCGCCAGCTCCTCCGGCGCCCTTGCCCCCCTTGCCCTTGCCTGTGCGGCGCTTCCCCGAAGGGGCAGACGCATCGCCGACCGACTCAAAACCAACGAGGTCGGCCGCAGCAGCAGAAGCAACAGAGGGCAAGAGGGGGGAGGGAGAACACCCCTCAAAGACAGGGGTGCGGGGGTCACCACGAGAGGCTCCTACAGCGACTATGCTCTTCTCCGCTGCTAGGAGGGGCCTTCTCGAGGAGGTCAACGGTGAGAGTGGTGGGGCACACTGCGAGGAAGTGGTCCCTGACTATGCGAAGGGAGTCAGGGAGCCGGATGACTATGTAGTAGAGGGTGATATACATGGGGGGGGGGGGGGGGGGGGTTCTTGGCACAGAACTCAGCAGGAAGCGCAGCGCGGTAGCGAGTGTCTCTAGTGCGGAGGTGCGTAATGAGGTCAGCGACTGTGGGAAATGCAGCAAGGTCAGGGAAGAGGTACGGTAGCATGAGATGGCTCAGTGCAGCAGTGGCAGGGGAGGAGTAGCGTGCAATTACAGCATCGTACAAGGTCTGAGCACTCTTGTACTGACTAAAGTGCGCACGCTCAGAGGTAGGGAGGTGGCGACGCACAGCAAGACGTGCAGCAGCATTGCGCGTGGCCCACTGGGAGCGAACAGTGGCGTCATCATCAGCAGCAGGGGCAGGAGAGGCACCAGAGGTGAGGTTAAGGAGGGAGAGACCGTCTGCCCTATCGCACTGTAAGAAAAGCTGCAGGTCATCTATCCAGACGTTAAAGTCAATGGCCCGACTCTCAGCGTCAAAAGTGAGGACACTAGGGGTAGCCATGACAACAGTAGACTAGCAGCGCAAACAGTAGGGTAAGGGCAGTGCAGTGACAGAGGCACTGCTCTTACCGGACAGTGTTGCTTGGGCGGCTTGGCGGTGCGGGCGGCTCGGCTGTAGGGCGGCTCTGCGGCTCGGCTGCTGGGCGGCTCGGCTGCTGGGCGGCTTGTCAGAATCCCAACCACTAGACCATTGGGATAAAAGGGCTTGTTTCAGTAGCGGGTCAGTGCGCCCATAACCCCACAGGCGAACGAGCCTGTAACCCTCTCCAGGATCAATCAGGCATCCACAGTGCAGATCTACTGACACCCCCCCCACAATAGGAGGCCCAGGACTGAGCACAGTGACAACGGCCAACATGTGCATACACCGGGATTCGAACCCGAGACCGCTCTGATACCATGTCAGAATCCCAACCACTAGACCATTGGGATAAAAGGGCGTGTTTCAGTAGCGGGTCAGTGCGCCCATAACCCCCCAGGCCACGCCACGGACCGGATGTCTCTGCGCCCGTCCACTGCTCCTCTGCGTGCCCCTTTGCCTTCTCCTGAGTCCTCTCTTCCTGCGCTTGCCGACCCGGAGTCGGACTCTCTTCGTGCTGCTAGTCCTACTGACACGCGTCTCCTTGCTACTGTCGTCACTGACCCTTCTTTCGAGTCCACTGCTGCGTCTGCCCTAGTTGCTGAGCTCGTCGACTTTGCTGCTCGCTGTCGCTTAGACTACGCTGCTAGTCTTGTCGCTGAGTCTGAGTCTGTCTGTCCTCCATCCGTCGGGGGTGAGTGTGCCCTTGGCACGGACGTTCTTGAGGACAGGCAGGAGGATTTCCATTGCTTGGCCGCTGCTTCACCTCATCTCGTGTCCGTACTGCTTACCCCTGAGGGAGACCCGGATGCACTTGACATCCCGACTCCGCGCTCTTACGCGGAGGCGATAGAGGGTCCCTACTCTTCTCAGTGGCAGGCAGCTATGGATGCAGAGATGGCTTCCTGGAAGTCCACAGGCACCTACGTTGACGCTGTCCCCCCTCCTGGGGCGAACATCGTCAGTGGCATGTGGATTTTCAGGGTGAAGCGGCCGCCAGGTTCTCCGCCTGTCTTCAAGGCGCGTTACGTTGCTCGTGGTTTCAGTCAGCGGCAGGGAGTTGACTACTTTCAGACCTTCTCTCCCACCCCGAAGATGACCACTCTTCGGGTACTGCTGCACGTAGCTGCTCACCGTAACTACGAGCTACACTCTCTTGACTTCTGCACTGCTTTCCTGCAGGGCAGCCTGCACGAGGAGATCTGGCTGCGCCGCCCACTTGGCTTCACTGGGACTTTTCCTCCTGGCATCAGTGGAGCCTCCGGTTGCCAGTCTACGGTCTCCGCCAGGCACCGCGTAAGTGGCACGACACACTGAGGAGGCCCAGGAGTGAGCACAGCGGCAACGGCCTACATGTGCATACACCGGGAATCGAACCCGAGATCGCTCTGATACCATGTCAGAATCCCAACCACTAGACCATTGGTATCCATAGTGAAGGTCTCGGATTCGAATCCCGGTGTATGCACTTTGGGCATCCCAGTGCGGGAGGGTGTCAGAGGTCCACTGGTGATCCCCGATTGATCCTCGGGAAGGGTTACAGGCACGTTGGCCTTGGGGGTTATGGGC